GCTTTACAGTACTGTTCTAGTGTTTTTTAATCACGAAATTAAGCTTGAAAATGTTATTCGTCTTATCGTCTTATACATATTAACATAGGAATATGAATCCAATTTTAATAGCGTATTGTTAAGACCGAATCCTGGAAAGGTATCTACAATGTATTGTAGAATTGCAAATATTAAAATAGCAGGTTTAAGATGTAAATCACCAGCTGCTATAATGCTAGGTACCAAGATGTTTGTCTCTTTATCTAAGGTAACTTGACCTTCAATACTTCTACTATGGTTCCACCCACGGATGGGCGTCACCCACACGCCAGACACAATGGATACAATATCGATACGTTTTATACAATTTCCTTTTAAGATTGCTTAGTATTTATCTATCGGGACAAGTCTCTTAGAAATATTTATCTTTAATATCCTTTTTCGTCTTTTTTAGGTTGTGAACTTTTTTAATAACTGCAAAAATATTCGCTACTGTATTGCTAATCTCAAGATCAGCGCGCTCCATTACCTACATTATCTTCTTCAACTCTAAACCCGCCGAAGCCATAATATGGTTGTCTAATCAGATCATTCTTAACGAATTGTTATTCAAAAGCTTTACTACGGCTTCAATTATTTTATTGATGCGTACAAACTAAGTTTTTAACGATGTTGGTTTACTATTCCAATCATTGCTGATGCATTGCTTCCTCAATGAGCCATTGACTTTCTCCCATCATTATTTTAATGCGCAGTCGTACTCACTAATGTAAATGCTGCATGACATGATTTAGGAAAGTATTTCATTTATAAAGTTTCTTTTGAGTTACGTTTTATCACTTCAATTTACTTGGTACCGGTTTCTAGTTGCATGTAAAAACAAAATAAAAGTTCCGTTCCTTACTTTGACTTGATTCAAATATCAATGTTTTCGTTTATAGCAGTTCTTTCAAACAAAGCTTCTAGTTCAAACATAACCACAGTCCACACCATTGTTTACGAAACAACAAACGTAAATGTTAGTAATGTTTGCCCTACTTGCCCGCGTGCTAGTGATGTCTAATGTCTATACGTCATTACATGTAATCTACTGTACGCATAATGGCATAATTGCCGTCAATGATCCCTTGTATTTCCGTTGGATGATTGTGTTTTGACAGCATTCAAAATAATCTTCGAGCCATCAGTCAATTTTATTCTTTGCTGTGAGAAAACAGGTTAATATTGTTTACTCGCGACGACCACGTGACTCTCACGTACAGTTGTAGGGCGCCGCCCGCCCACATGGCCGCCGCAGACTTGTCACTTACGTAATGTACTGGCTCGGAACCCTACGCACGTGCAATTATTTTTTTCACGCTTTTTACAAAGAGGTTAATGAAGTCGGTTCGCGATCTGTTGTGAAATACGTAACGGCGGAAATGACCACCTGACGGGAATAGCGCGTCGCGCAATTCTGTCGCCAGCTCACAGTGTGACCGCGCTATCACCCGGCGTCGCTCGCGCCGTAGATAACCCTGCATCACACCGAAAATAACCAGTCTACTCTTAGCCGCGGTCCAGCCACGACTGTCACTAATTTGACCCATCCCGCCTTATATACCAACCTGAGGGATGGCATCCGTGCGCACGCGCTCTGCATCCCCAAAATCTGTTTCGTTCTCCCCGATTTTGGAGCGAAAATACAGTGTTGAACGAAGACCTGCAAGTCCACCTGAACTGAAGTCGACGGATTGGAGGAAATATTTTACTGATTTCAGTGCATATCTTGGTGAGTGGAATAAAGGTGTTTGGAACTAATTCATGAGTGAGTCAGGTCGCTTTATTGTACGGCCTTGCGCTATATCGGTTGCGTGTTAGTGGAGCGTTCGGGACCGCTGCGTAAACAAAACTTGCGTAATCGCGTCTATTGGTTTTGTGAAGATGCTTTATTCTATCGCATCGTTCTTGTCAATATTTATTTGCCCAATGTTTTCCCTTCTCAATTAGATTCTGTCATCGCTGGTGTTGAATCGACTCTATAAGAAGAGCTTTGAATTAAATAATTTGATAGCATTCCATAGAAACTTTACAGTGTGAATTCGCCTTGTGTTGCCACTACCACTACCTAGTAAGCTAACGTAATAAAATCCGCACTATTATCTAAACAAAAGTGACCACAAAAACTAGAACTAGTTTCAGATTTGGAGTAATTTACGACTAGCAGAGAACAATTGAAAGTGTTCGGTATCAGTCGTCCAAGGCGAGGTGTCAGGTCTCTGAGATAACCTTGCGGGCTGTGGTCAAATGCTGTCTATACGGTCTATACGGTCCATACCGCAAAATGTTCTACGAACTATATCTCAGTGTTTAGTACTTGTCCTGTGTCATACCACTGTTATTAATAGCCATACAAGATATGTTGTTGATTTAATTGTTTAGCGAGATTTTGCGGATAATTTGTGACTGGAGAGACAATCAATCAATAGTTTTGTTGTGTTCTGTGGGTCTCGTAACACGCATGTCTGTCCTTCGGCCAATATTCAAAGCTTTATTTATGAAATGTAAAGCTATGACGTAATTTTTTTATGTCGGATACTCCTATAAATAAATCTGCTATAAAAACTATTTCAGAATGTTGAATGAAATTGGCCTAGTTTTTAGGTTCCAATTGGAGTATATTTTCGGTCTCTAAATGCAAAAAGCTACATCATATAAACAGATGTGAAAATTCTTTCGAATTCACTTCTGTATTCATTAAACTGTTTCATACGAAGAAAACCAGCTTTTAATTTCTTATTAGAAATGATCGTGTCTTACTGAACTACTAGATGATTAAGTTTTGTCACGTGATCCCGACGAAGGCTTTAGTCAGTACCTAATAGTCAGATATGCTGGAACTCGTTGAGGAAGGCCGATGTTAGGCAGCAGACGCCATAATGATGATGAGATAAGGAGACTAACTTCATCTTCTCCAGAGTTTCATTCCAACTTTTCTACTTAAAGATCATGATGGTGGAATATGAATGCGGTACAATATTCCGTGACTAATTAAGCCATTAATTTTATCTGTAATCTTATTAATTAACATCGTGTTGGCTTAGGAAGCGCCTTATTTCCTGCAGTTAGTTATCGTTTTGATTCGTTGCACCCTGATGATTTTGTTAATTGCCTTCGTGATATTAATGTTTAGTTTATGCTGAGCTTTTTAATGTTATTCAATTTTAGACCTGAATGTGGATTACTTTGTTAGTTGTAAGAGCAACTGTCCAATGTGATCTTCTGGATTGTATCCGTTTCGCACTTGTAATTTTTTTTTGCTAAAATTCGCATTTATTGGTTCATTAAGTATTAGGTCACATTTTCTTCCATACGTATTCCTCAAAATATTAAAAAATGGCTTATTTTTCTTTTTTCTAATACCGTTGATTCTGGTTTCGATCTTATTCTTATAATCTTATCCTCTATGCCTTTGAGATGTTTGGCGAATTAAACTATGCGAGTTAAATATATTATTTTATCTATAATCTGTACGTCAAATATTCGTATAAAAAGGCTGTTGATAACTTGCTGCTCTCTAAAGATGTTTCTGCAAATCGCAGATTAGACATCCAACGCCATCTAGTTTCATAATTGTAAAACAAAAAACATAACAAACAATGTATCGAGCTTCGGGAAACAGTTCATAGATAGAGCTTGCATCGCATTGTGTTCTTTTAATTTTTATTTTTTTGGCATTGTTTTTAAGTTACTTTTAGTAAATAACCATCGTTATAAATAGACTATTGCTTTGTTTTGGTGTTTTAATGTTTTTCTTTGAGATTATGTTTTGAGTTGAATCAGTTATTGTTACATCAAAAATAATTAACTTAAATACTTTACAGAGTCAAAAAGTTAATTTTGAAAGTAAGCTGATTTGTTTAATAGAAGAATGATTTTTTTGCGCCTTTTATTATTGGAAGAGCAATATTTTGAGTGTAACTCTGCGAGTTGCTATTATAATGTTACAATAGTGATCTCTATAATGCTTAACGTAGGGGTGATAATTATAACGTCGATTACAAAAATGACAATCGCTTCTTGTATTTTTTTTTCTTTCAAATAAAACTTGGCATAGAAATAAATGATTATTTAGAATTATTTATCTAGGAGAACAACTGACCTTTTTATGTTATTTGACGAAGCGTGTTTTCCTGTTTTGGATTTCCATTTTACTATCGAAAAGCCAACACATTTCAAATGAATAATACATCCAACTATTTGTCAGTAGGACTAATAGAAACTTGATCAGACACTGTGACATAGGACGTATACCATACTAAACTCGCTACTCGCTATTGTTACTTCAACTTGTATCGCAATCTCTGACTGTCCACCCAAAGGCTATAAGTTCATTGGGTACTTCTGCGAAATTCTAAAAGTGCTTACTAATCTGCGTGTCCTTTCTCTCACTACTAAACCGAACATCACGACTTGCCAGAGAGGGCTAGCAGACAAATTCCACTGAGAACGCGTCATCCTATGACGCCTCAAGTCCGTATTATCAAAGCGGCGTCAGCGAGTTCATTGATGAAACGTACCATCAAGCACATTCAGCGCTTTATTTTAACTTATTAGAACAACCAAAGTTTTGCTTTCTATGTTCGTCTATATCGGATTTGGTTTACATTGTCTTAACAAATGCATCTAACACGACCGAAATACTAATTCGTGACCTCATCTCTCGCAGCGCTTCTAAAGCACGGACGATTAAAGAATCACAAATATTTATGTGAACAATATGTTGGATTGTGAGCGATTTCTGCGGTCTGCGCTTGTGGAGGTGAATCAGTACTACATTAGTCCATAAGAGAGTCGCCCGCGCCTCCTTGCTCGCACGAGGGCAAAGGAGATATATTTAAATTTAGAATCCCTTCCTCCGCCCTTGAGGCGAAAACTTTTTTTACTTTTATACTTTTATGGCGTTTGCGAATTCGCCGCGGCCAGTTACTTGTGAACCGTTATAAGTGATACCAAAAAGTTTTAATTGATTATTTTCGAAAATGTCTCATTCTCATTATAAAGTGAACGATGATATTTACGGGAAAATATTGAAAAGCAATAAGAGTTCGTCTCCGAGTAAGATACAGTACGAAGAAGTGTATGAAGCTGTTGGTGGACTGGGTATAATAAATTTAAACTATGTCTCTTGTTATGTTATTTACATATAATCTACTTTGTATTTACTCCGTTAATATCCTGTTCTTAGATACGTTGACTTTGACTCACTTACATTTGTTATTGACTTAACCCGGTATTGAATTTACTCATGTTTGAATATTATGTTGAGGTACAATAGAATTTTTTGTTCAGTTATTGGGTTCAATTTTTGATCGTGATCATAATAAGAGCCTTCTTGTAGTAATGTCTTGTGTAACATTGCTTATCTATGGTGGTAGGCAATTTGCGTAACTTGACCGATAAGGGATTACGCCATTGAATCGTTAGCGGGGTTTAATGGAGAGTATCCTTTATTCTTATGTAAAGGCTTTAGAAGGCATTGAACTCCGAAAAGCAAACTAGTTCCTGACAAACGAGTCTTGGGGAACAGAATCGGCCGGGTGCGCTTGCGCAGCGAAATGTATCAATTTTTTAATTATGCAAAATCTCGACTCCCTTTGTTTCCGTTGGGAGTATTTTGGTCAATATGCAGTTTTCTTCCATTTATTTCTTGATTTTTACTATCTTGAGGCAAATATCACAGTCTATTTTATTTTATAGTTTGTGGTTAAATAAAACATATTATACCCATGTTAACATTCTCTATAAGGAAACTCTCTATAATGAGGATATACACAGGTAATGACAATTATTGTAGGTATTATTTTCCTTTACAATTATATTTGTAACCTATTGATTCGATCACCATTCCATGAACAAATATGGAGATTTTATGGTATCAGATACATTGTAGAAACATTATTGGCGTAATTTGAATTATTTAAACGTCATATATATCTCCTAGTTTGTCTTCCTTCTGGGATAAAAATCTTGTCTTCCTTCTTTTTTTAAAATTTTTAAGTATTAACTTCTGCCAGCGTTTTCGATCGATGAAAGAGGAAAAATTAAGCATTAGGTATATGTTTATTTATACTAAACTATAATAATCTATCGCTATACCAAATTGTATTTAACGATTGGAATTAATAACGATTGATATCGATTTATTTTTCCTTAGTTTTGTGATCGTGTGTAGCTTTCTCCGTGTGAGAAGAGGCTTTGCTCAGCAGTGGGCATTATAGGCTGTTGATGTGATGAATTCAATTCAGATATTTTGAATTGTAATCCATTAATATTGGCCATTAATTTGTTCAGTAGTTTCATATAATACATAAAAAACATTGTCGTGTAAAAACAAAAGTTTTGTCAAACAGAACAATGCTACATGAGTCTGCATCGCCCGACACCATAAAATTAATTCCACTCAATTAGAGGGACCCCGTTATACTCCAAACATGATGTCATTTTGCAAAATATGTATATACAGTTTGCTTTATTTATATCTATTAATAGATTGAATAATTAATACAAGGTACTATTAATTAATTACTAGTTGTTCGCACAGGGTTCATATGAGTGTTGTTTATATGTAATTTTCCGATTTTTCTTCACTAAATAAAAGGTTTATCCAATTCGATCGGATAAACTGGGCGTACATTCATTTTAATAATTTTTAATTATAGTGCTGGTATTGGTAATAGAAAATTATTTAATTAATTATGTATCTTATTGATCTACAAAATTGAATTGGATTATATTTAAGTAATTTTATTCCATTTTATTATCATATTATGTAATTGCAATAATTACAATGTAATTGTAATTGCAATATATTTTACATTGATTTTATGCAACCGCTAGGCTTTCTGTTTTTAATTTCAGGGGTTAGATTGTAACATAATAACACTTTGGTGCAAAATTTAAGGTAAAATAATTAAAGTAAATACATATTTAACTTAGTTGTCCAAAACTTAATTCAATATAAGATAAACAGACCAAAAACTACATGAGCGCCATCTGGTGAACAAAAAACGGAAGCTTTCATTAGTGATGCGTCTATGTTTATGGTTATATCGATTTATGCGTGGTGTTTACTCCTGAAACGATGTTTATATGGTTGTTCAATTGTCATTGTCACAAATTAGACACAACAACACCTCGTTTCGTCTCAACAAGATCACGTGTCCCTAGTTTCTACTTATCATACGCCATATTGTTTTTTTATGATATTTGGATTTTTAAATATTCTTTTGTAATGGTGAGAGGTCTAATGCAATGTAGACCTTCATTATATAAAAAACGAAATTGACCTTGAAAATAAGTGCACTAAAATAAAAATAATAGAATAGTTAAAAAATCATATACCTTTCAGCAAATACATTTTTAGATATTCTTAGCCAGATAATTGTAACATGGTAACCAAAATAGATCATGAAGTTTATATTCAGAATTTAAATATTTGCACATTATTTTCTAACAAATCCATTCCACTTGATTTCAGATGCGCTGCTTGCCGACCTTCAGAACTCTATCAACCCTGGCGCCCGTGTAGGCAGTCCAGGCGGCAGGAGTTCTCCAGGAGGAAGAACTGCGTCTCCTGGCAGGACCAGCTCTCCACTCGGTAGAGGCAGTTCCCCTGGTCGCCTGAGCTCACCAGGAGGCAGCCTGAACTCACCGTCTTCCACTGGATATGGCTCAATAAATGGATCAAGGAATATATCTTCGGATTATACTAAGCCTGCTTCGGTGAGTGACAGTTTAATGCTAAAGTATTTATGCGTAGATAAGTCTGTCATCGTTTCAAGATACGTCTTCTTCTCTGTCGTTTCGCTCTTGACAGAGCGGTCGTGGTCACGTTGAGGTGGCCGTATTTGTGTTGGAGGCCGATACACCTTTCCTCACGAGCTCCCCGCCATCTCTCTCTGTTTGTGGATTATCTGGCGCAGTCTGACACTGGGTTTCCCGTTGCCGAATTGACTTGATCAGTCCAGCGCATAGGTGATCTCCCTAGAGATCTGGTTCCCTCTACCTTCCTCTGACCGACCAAATATCAAGATACGTAGAATACTCAAAAACATTGTATTACAGACTGCAAAAATAAATTTGTTACATCGAACTAATTTTTTTTTTGCAGTCATTTTGTTTACACTAAGTAGGTAGTGAAATTCCCAAGTAAGGATTCATCGGTATTTCATGACTAGAAATTTACATCGTCCATATACCTAATTTATTCTTATGAAAAACAAATTGCAGTGAATCAAGTTAAAAGGCACGTCGGACGTAGTCTAAAGTAATATGGCGACCATGCCCAACTGACCCAAATTACCGTGTTTTATGGGCAGATAACCCCTCGGTTATTCAATCATAGTCCATTATAGCTTACATATTACACGTTTAAACTGGATGTAATCTATAATACTAATGACTGCCCTATTTTATGGGTCGGGGGTGACAAGTGTGACTACTGAGCAAGGGGTCTTATGTTGCGGGCCTCCGGACGGCGAGCACGGGTGACTCGCCGCCCGACCAGAACCACAGACCACTACAGATGGGGCCTAACAGGGCTGATGCCGATACGGAGCCGCGGAAGACTTAACGGGTTGCCGGGGCTCCGGCTCGAAATGCAGGAGTAGGAACGGGGTGGTTTTTAGTCAGTAAGAGTCTGACACCCCCTCCCGCCTCACCCGGGCGGGAGAAGTAATTGTATGATTTTCCCCCCTCAAAAAAAAGGGGTCTTATGTTCAAATTCTCAAACGTCACTCAATTTTAAGACGTACTCATCAACAGTTTTATCACTACAAATTCTTTGTAAAATGACAGAGATAGCACGATATTTAAGTACTAATGGGGCCTACCGATTTTTTTCCCACCCAATGGCGCTAGTAGCCTCCCGTTCTTTGTCCAATAGGGAAATAGCTAGTGTCACACCATTGGACGTTCCATATTTGACAGCTGCTGTTATTGGACAAAAATCTCCTTACTACATTTGCGCCAATTGGTGAGCGAAATACCGAGCCCCGATGCCTGTCGCGGAGAACCTAACGGGTAACCGGGGCTCCGGGTCGACGTGCAGGAGGAGGAACGGGGTGGTTTTTAGTCAGTAAGAGTCTGACACTCCCTCCCGCCTCCCGGCGGGAGCAGTCATTCGATGACATTCCCCACTTAAAAAAAAAGCCCCGATGCCTGAATCGAGAAAAGCATTGCATCTTTTTAATTTTTTAAAACTCAGTCTGGTTCACCCCTTATTAAATGGGACTTAACGGGACTTAATAATAATTTATGACAAGACAGAGTTGAGGAGAACATCAACCAGTGACTTCTTCGCCTTGCGAGAGGCGATACAGCGTCAGACCCGTTTGGACGATTAATTGGCGTCATGTTATGTTTATGTTAACTACATGTAACTCAATGTTTAATTTGCTAAGTAAACGATTAATATGATAGAAAGATAGTAAATGTGACGATAAACTATTGTCTAGATTTCTAGACTACATTTACTCACGTTTCCTAACTTACGTATTTGATAACAAGCGTTCAATTACAAAAAGGTCTTTGTATTAAAGGTTTAAATGATATCCTTGAGTTTTCGTCTGTGGCATGCAATCGGTTGGTATTCTGGTTGTCCACATCCTTGGAGAAGTCACCTTGGCACCTTAATACCGGTGCCTATTATGTCATAATATTCCAAACACAGGTACCATTTTCCAACAGTCAAAACATGACGTATTGTATTTTCCGTATTAATAAATATTAAATTCTTGGAATGTAGTCATCAAGGATTTAATGACTTATTGATGAGTTGCAAAGCTCTTGTAGTTATTAATTTTGTTTAATATTTATGTACTTTGAATAGAATTTATCTAATTTCTATTGATGAACATCAAAGTCTCAATTTTCAGTTCTTTGGAGATGTAAAACTGAATTAACTTAGTAATGTATAGAATAACCGCTAGTCAATTTTTTAAAGTGTTTATTATTCATCAAAACCAGTTTAATAATTTTGGAATAAAAGTGTAACGAACAAGCCAAACAATTTTTATATCGGTTGTCGGACCACGCTGCTCATGAATTTGAAAGGCTATGATATGAGCCCCCAGCGTAACTTGAAACTAGTCAAGTTACTTCGTCAATCAGAATAAATCAAACAGCCACAATATACAACAATAATTCTATTAGTTGAAATCCTTACTTCCTTACCAATATTATAAATCGGAAAGTGAGTTTGTTTGTTTGTTTGTTTGTTCCGACTTCACGCCGGAACTACTAAACCGATTGCATTAAATTTTTGCAGACGTAAAGTTAGTAGTCTGGATTAAATAATAGGGTACTTTTTATCCCGAAAAAATTTGATATTCCCGAGGGAAAACAAAAGTATTGGTATAGATGGCGCTGTATGTATTGGTATATGTCACATAGGCTACTTTTTATCTTTTGTGACGCGAGCGAAACCGCGGGTAAAAGCTAGTGCATAATAAAGTCAATGTTATTGTATAACGTTATGCATTTATTGTGATGCATTATTTGACCTACAACCACTGGCCTAGTGCGCTGGAGTCAAGAACAAATTCTTGGGTCCTCGCGTTTATATTATGTTGATTTTATGTTGACAATCTTTACCTTGGTTTAGTATTTATTTTCCTTTTAATAATCTTGATGCTGTTACCAGTAGTTTTAAAATGTTATGTACTTCCAGACGCCAATCAGAAAAAGAATAATTACCCCCTTGGTTTCTTCACGCAAATTTTTGACAAAAGTGGGTTATTTTTGTAGTCCTTGGTTTCTACGAACTGTTGGAGTCTCATATGTAGCTTAGTTTTTGAAGTCCTCGATAAATATACTCAGAAACGACTATTAACTAGTATTAGTTCATCTCAATTTACAGTATAACCTTTGTATATTTTCATTATTCTTTAAACTGGAGCTAATCTTAGTTCTTTGAACATTGTTGTTGTGACACAGATGACCTTACTAGCCAATGTTGCGGTTAGCGTCAGAAACTCGTCAATCATGACTCACAAGAATTTTATGAAGAGTACCTACCTATGAAGATAAAACCGTTTTATGTTCCTAGGAACATCATGCTACCCTAAACTACTGAAAGTGTTCAATAGATTTGTGGCTTCGATATTTGTATCGATAATTGATTCGATATTTGTTTCGATAATTGATCAAAGATAGACGTCTAGCTTGATGTTCTGACATGCGTTTATTGATACTTTGTTAGCAGCGTTTTATTATTGTGTGAGCTATGTATGTGTAAATTATTTTACGGCAATAATTACATTCTTTCCCTTTTCATTTATCTCATAATGTGGAACAGCGCCATCTATACACGAACAACTTAAACATTAAATACTCTGCAGTTGCTGCAGTTGAAATGTTTCCAAGATTTGAGAGAATTAATGTAGATGTCACTACTAGTACTTTTAGTTGCAGAATATTCTTCCTTTTTTTAGCCTTTATCTATTAGCTATAAGCAATGCTTCTTTTTCTACCATAGCCTTTTGAAGACTTGGTAAATCCTTAGAGATGTTTTTATCATACAAGTTTGCCATTATAAGTCAATTGTCGGTCGACTCTAGACTTTGATAACGATGGAGCCCCATCAGGCGAAAACTTATATCCAATAGGATTAAAAAAGCTACATATTATTAAATAAACTTCAAAACAGACTTGTCTGCAATTTATATTATAACTTTCGTGAGACATACTAAATTAATTATTGTGTTTTCGGCTTACTCACGTAACTGTTTGACGAAAAACTCTAGCATGGCTATATAATACATATTTAATGAAGGCTAACTATTACTTAAAAAAAAAAAAAAAATTAAAACTAAATATTACTAAATTAAAACTAAAAAATTAAAACTAAATATTACTAAATTAAATACCTATATACAACTAAAGATTAAAATTAATTATAAGAAAAAACAAAAACAACTATTTACATAAAGCGTCGAAAAATTCGTCCGCATCGACGTCAGTGGGGAAAGTACCCAGAAGGCTGGCAGCATTGCCACGTTGTATGGCAATGCTTAGCCTCTGACCGAGAAAAAGACCAGCCCTCTGGTCACGAGATGTGTCAACCAGGCGTTTTGAGATGTTTTGGAACAATTTAAGTGCACTCGGACCCCACGGACCTAGCGTCTCAACCCCAAACGGCTCAAAGATATAACTACCAGCAAGGTTGTTATACTTGCGCCGCTTGAGGCTTTCTGCAGAGGCAGCAGCCGAACCAGCACAACCCGCCGTTACTGGAAGATGAGAAGGTGCAAGGGTGTCAACGTTCCCAGCTTCCAGGGCATAATGGACATACCGTCGGGTCTCTTACCATCGTCGCGTGCCAAACCCTTTGGTTCCAGAACAGCTGGCACACCGGCGATGATAAGAGCTCGGCGGATAATGTCGTTAATGCTGGCGTGTCGAGCTATCCGGCCCGCGCTTCTGCTACACGATAGGCCGTGGTGGCCGAGGTGGTCGACCATCTCACCGCATTGACAGCGATGCGGAGAAACACAGGGTGCACCTACACGCAAGCAAGCAGCAAGCCGAAAAGTTGAGTCATTCAACATCGTGCCAATATTGAGTGACGGAAGTGCCTGAAGCCAGAGGCCTGATTCCCACTCACCCACAGCCAATAGGCGAGCTAACTCCGCAGGATTGGTGCTGGTATTAATTAGATTATTATGCACCAACCTGCAAAGCGGCTCGTCCCATTGTCTCTGGGAGGAAGGGTTGACAGGCAAGGCTGTATTGGGACATGTTTCTGTCCAGACGTTCATCGCGTCGGTCAGACACGGCACATCAGGTTCAGCGTCAACACCAGCTAAAATTTTATTTGTTAACGTTCTAGTGCTGTGGACAGAAGAGATGAACGCCGGTAAACTTACACTGGTAATTTTGCGGACGCCTAGACCACCAAAACGAATTGGTAGTGTGGCTTGAAGCCAAACACGATCGTCCATAGAAGCATTCAAAAGTGAAGTTAAGGGTCACGGATAATTTGATCAATTTGGTCCAGAATATGCGGATGCTTCCACAGAGGGGAAGCACGCAGAAAATACATAAATTTTGGGCCGAAACAACAATAGCGAATTAAAGTAAATGCACAATGTAGATTAATTTTGGAAAGTCTATCGGAAATGTCACAGAAATTTTTAATTTTCTCGTTTATGAAATCAGAGAAACTGTTTTCGAAAATTGGGGAACCCAGGAGAAGAAGAGAGTTTTTATCAACAATTTTTAAATTCGGCGCTACGGTAGAAAAAGTGTTTAAAATTTGTTGACTATCGATAATTTTGTCCGGAAGGTAAATTTCGCATTTAGAAATATTTAATTCTAATCCGATGGATTTAAATTCAGAAATCAAAAGCTGTAAGTCATGGAAAACAGTATCTGCGTCACCTCCTAGGGTTCCATCGTCCAAATACCAAACATTAAATTTAGATTTAAGTTGCCGAAAATAGGGTGAATGGCCAGACTGAAAATGACTGGACCAAGAGGATCACCTTGTTGGCAGCCTACCGCAGAATCCAAAACTTTGTCTTTATACAATAATTTTGAAGGTTGTCTATAGCACTGCCAAATAAAACTGTAAATTTCAGGTAATTCTTTTTTAACTTCAGCCAACAAAGTGTCCCTGTTGATGGAATTGAATGCATTTTTTACATCAACCTTAAGGATGACCTCACTTTCGTTTGCATTCAAGAAAGATGATAGGGCGTGTACGGCAGCCTCACAACCCCCTTTTGAGCCAAAGCCTAGTTGGAGGGGTTGAAAGTGCGACATGAGCGCATCTTTATGATAGCTGCAACACAACTTGGCTGCCATACGCCTGTAAGTACATCCTACGGCAATGGGGCGTATGCCGCCATCTTTCTTGCGTAGGGCACATAGATTGGCCCCGTACAAAATGTCGATAACGGCATCCGTCACATTACCGGAGAGCATTAAATTAACCAGAACCGTTAGCTCCTTCAGAAGACTCACCGGCTTCCCCGACGTCTGGCCCCGTCAAATCCTTAAGATGTTGAGGAGTCAGACCATCAAGTCCACCAGCAGAGCCACTGCGGAAGGAGCCAACGGCTGCAGCTACTTGCTGGACAGTTGCGGTGAAAATATGGATATCATGTTCAGGAGGATCGGGAAAAGTGAGGTCAGCCCTAGCAGGCGGGTGTTTACTCTTCAGAGCTTCAAAAGTTTCTGAAGAGTAGGGAGCAACCACGTCACTACTGAATAAAAGCCTGGCGGCTCCACTTATATCACCTTCACCTAATTTGGATTCTACGTAGTCAAAACGAGTTTTTTTAATATTATTAAAGGAGTTAGGAAATTTTGGATCTAAAATGGGGTTCAAAATGTTACAATTACTTTTAATTTGTGAGGTTAAGTTTTTTTTAACAGCCAAATTTTTTTTTACGTGTAGAATCCTGTAGGGGAAGGTGAGTAACTGCTCCCAAGCCGAGAAAGAGTTCTCTCGAGTTGCAAGACGAATGCAATTTCCTAAATTAAGAGCAACGGACCGTCTTGCACCACGAGGAACTCTTTTTAAAACGGGTGTTGAATTTTTGAATTTGGATAAAGTTTCCCATAAAGGCTGATTTGAAACCGGAAAAGAATTTTGTAGAGGAGTAGTGTTAGAGGGGGATAAGGATACACTATGAGATTTGTGTATTTTTCCATAATGTATTCTTAACCCGCGTTCTCCTTTAAAAAATCGAGGCTGAGAGCATAAAGAACATCTTACCAGGCTCTCTATAGGTTGATGGCATGGCTTGAAACTAGTCGAGTTCCTTATTAATTTTCTCCAATTAATATTAATACTAAAAATAATTGTACAAAAATCATCCAACAAAGTTAACGAGGTACGGAAGCTTGTATACAACGAATGCACCAACTAGTGAATAATAAATTCAAATGAAAACTGTAATAAAAACTTGTTAGTTTCCGTCAAAATGGTCGTAAATCATGTCCACAGTTACATCTTCCATTTTATTTTATTTTACTTTGCTAACAAGAGTCTTGTGTATTCCGTGATGTTAATTTTCTGTGCAGAATTCCGCCGTGTTTACCAAAATCTGCGTTTGTATTTCATGCTTTTACATACAGTATGTTATCTACTTTTTATTACATAAAGCCGAAGAGTTTGCTTGAACGCGCTAATCTCAGGAACTACTGGACTGATTTGAATAAACCTTTTTGTGTTGGATAGTCCATTTATCGAGGAAGACTATAGGCTGAAAAACATCACGCTAAGATCTATAGGCGCCGAGCAGAGCGGGTGAAACCTCGTGGAAGTACCTAGCTATGTAGGTATTTTAAGTGATTGCAATTAAGCAGAGTATGCAATTACTATTTATTACACGAGTACACGTGTATAGTTGGCCAGCTGTTTCGCATGTCGAACGTATAGCAGTTGATGTTTTGAATGACAAGAATTGCAATCAGTGTGCCAAGCCATTAACCCACTGGATGTGATGTCAACTACAGATATTCAGTTCAATTGAGGTATTCACTAAGCAGGCCACTGATTATAGGGTCTCTAAACTCGAAAAAAATACTTAACTAGATATTAGAATACGGATCGCAGTAGGGACAGAAAATGGCAAAAATCAAAGTCAAAGTCATTAATTTTAATTAGACCAGAAAGGCACTTTTGAACGACAACAACAAAAAAAAATTAGAAGAGAATCTAGTTGCTCATTCCAAGGTGTAGATTCCTATGGAGAAGAACGAGCAAGAAACTCCATAGGTTACTCTTTTTCGATCAGGTTTACACACACATTATACCAGCCACAAGACGTCCACTGCATAACACATCCAAATCAATCGTTAGTAAGCGAAGTCTCCAGTAGTGTGTACCTTTAATTGAGTACTTCTTATTTGGAAGAAAAGAGAATATTCGTCATGCCTTAAATGTTTTGTAAACAACCTTTGCCCCTGTTTCCAAGATACAAGAACAAAATGAGATATACGTTACACTTACGCATGGCTGCTTCGATAAGAATAGGCCGGCTTAACCGGAGTGATACCATGGCCTCACAAAAAACCGACGTGAAGCAACGCTTGCGTTGTGTTTCGTCATGTGAGTGAGGTTACCGGAAGCCCAATTATCCACTCCCCTTTCCCCAATCCCTGAATCTCCAACAATCCTTAAATTCCTAATCCCCAATAGGCCGGTAAAGCACTCACAACGCCTCCGGTGTTTCGGTTGTCCATAGGCTACGCCGATTGTTTTCCATCAGGTGATCCATCTGCTCATTTACCGGATCTTCTCGATTTTTTCCAAAGGACTTCAGAATCTTTCTTGAATCCCAACAACATAGCTTCCAAGTTACATCTGACAACATCTTATTAACCAATTATTTTGTCCACAGCCAACTTACCAGAACACGTCATCTCTACACGAGAAAGTGCACCCAGTAAAATACAACACAACACAAACCAGCTATGGTAGCCACAACGCCTACAATGCAGGACAACCTGCGTACAACACTGCACAGCCAGCGTACGGCAGGACAGCTTCAGACAGGAGTGGACGAGGACACCTCACTGAACTGGACACCCTACTCGATGACCTGAGCAACGCCAGATATGGGAACTATGTGGACAAGACTACGTCATATAGTGAGAGAAATGGTAAGTTTTTATTATTAAGTAACTAACTACTGCCAGCGTGGTGCCATGCCGTGGAAGGCCTAACGGGTTGCCGGGGCTCCGGCTCGAAGAGCAGGAGTAGGAACGGGGTGACTTTTCGTCAGTAAGAGTGACGCTCCCTCTCGCCTAACCCAAGGTGGAAGTAATCATTGGATGATTTCCGCCCTCAAAAAAAAGCGTAGTGCCATAATATTAGTAGGATTTTGAGAGAAAACAATAGATGTGAAATTTTATGAGGTATTTCTGTTAATTCGGTACCCAATACGACTAATGACGAAGATACTAATACTAACTAGTAATCGCAATGTTGGTTAAATTAGGCAGTATTTACTTAGGTACCTACTGACGTAACGTGTAAAACTCCCTTCTATTACTAAAAACATACGTCATGCAAGCTAACTACTTTTTATTAATGACGACCTTTTTTCCTCACTGACGCAATATATTCTTCAGCAAACACAGATTTTAATTACTCAGGTAAAATAAAATGAAGTTAATATGCAAACGAATCCTCATAATAAACGGCTGGGCCTAAAAACTCTTCATCTTATACTTTTCTATACTATTATTATAAAGCGGAAGAATTTGTTTTTTTGTTTGTTTGTTTTTTTGTTTGAACGCGCTAATCTCCGTAACTACTAGTCTGATTTGAATAATTCTTTTTGTTTTGGATAGCGCATTTATCGAGGATGGCTATAAGCTATAAAACATCACGCTACGACCAATAGGAGCTGAGCAGAGCGTGTGAAACCGCGCGGAAGTAGCTAGTCTAATAATAAAATATTATATGGAGTAAATAATAGTCATTAACACATCTTACGTCTACTTTACTTTGATGTAATCATGTCGGATTAGAAACACACATCACTGCCACTTAACGAAAAAAACAAAAACATGATATTAATATCAGTCCAGACGAGCGTGTGATCAATTTAGGGGCGTGTCGTGTCTAGTAAAGCAACAGAAAAAGAATATTAGAGAAAAGCTTTGGCCCAAATTAAGGAAGACTAATTGCATGTTAAGAGTCTCGAGAAGTATTAGAAGTTGTTAGGGATTCTGCTATCTGGACAGTCATCAGTCTACTATTGGGTCTTTCTCTATGTCAGAGGGGTCACCAAAATCTCCACGCTCGGCAGGCGAATTGGAGATATTCCTTTTTGTGGATTAATATTATAATAGTTTACTTTTGTCACATCATCCTCTTCAACAGCCGGAAGACGACTGCTGGACAAAGGCCTTCCCCTTAAAACTTTGTTTACAGGTGAAGGGAAATCACTTTCTTCATCTTTAGCTGGCTTCAACCTCTAAGTCACATCTAAATCTCCTTTAGTTAACCTTTTTATGGCTTGTCAGTTTCCATCCATTTTGTTGTCACCAATTTTTAGACGCAAATTAAAATTATCTTTTTCTGACGACTTAAAATGTGGAAGTAACGAAAGATGTGTTCCCTAAAAATGCAACTTTAGTAATAGCGCAATCTAGTATACAAAATTATGTACGAGAAAACGTTTGCCAAAATGTGAACTCCCAAATATAAAAGCTATTAGCAAAATCACTTGTAGAATGTGTCATACCTAATTAAAGCTCCAGAATAATCTAAAAGTTATCAAGAGCAATTTGTTATTCCCAAAGTTGAGATAAATATGATTCATATTAAATACTCCAGTAATTCGTGCCTCGTGTAGGATGCAAAGATTATTTCATATGCGTTGCAACGATTCATTAATGGTGACCTAAAACATCAAGTAACATTTATATAATCTCATTAGTTCTACAGTATATTACCGGTAAATGGAAGTTAACTACCGAAATTGTAATTCCTTTATCATAAAGATAGAAAAAACTTAGTAAGTAGAAAAGGAGAGAGAATACAAAATGCCCTTGAACTTGAACTCGATATGTTGTTCAAGTTCTGTCTAAAAGAACCGACTGGTAATGAAGTTAAACATCCTCTTCATCAAGGTAAATTTAGGAAAATTCACCTTACCTCATAGGAGCTAAATGAGCCAACTGCTTTTCGAATGGACGTGATCTTCTTCATTACTTACACCACCTTGCCTCAAAGACTATGTGAAGATAACAAAAAAACCAAAGTGGATAACAGCGGGAATCAAAAAATGCTCTAAGCGAAAAAGAGACATGCTGTGGGAATATCGAAAATCACCTAGCTTAAACAACAAAACTAAACTAAAACTATATACAAAGAGATTGAAGCTGATAATTAAACAAACACAAAAAGTACAAAATAATCACTTTATAAATCTTTCCGAAAACAAGAGTAAGGCTACGTGGAACATTATTAATAAACAGAAGGAAAATAATCCAAATGTAGGAATTAACCAGATAAAAATTGACAATAAAGTTATTACTAATCCAGGACAAATATCAGAATCGTTTAACCAACATTTTCAGAATCAAAATGATTCTCACAATGACATTAACTATAAAAATATATTGACATTTGACACGAATTCTAATTCTATATTCATGATACCCACAATACCTGATGACATTATAAAAACAATAAATTCATTGAAAAATACCAATAGTGTTGGATATGATGATATATCCACCAAGGTAATTAAAGCTACCGCTGCTATTATTGCACCGGTACTCAGTCACATCATCAATACTTGCATCGAGAAAGGCATATTCCCAGAAAAACTGAAAACCTCAGTAATTATACCAATATTTAAGAAAGGTGACAAACTCGACCCTAATAATTATAGACCAATAGCACTTATCCCAGTATTCTCTAAAATATTTGAAAAAATAATTCAAAAAAACATATATTACTTTCTAGAAGCTAACAAACTTATAATAAGAGAACAATATGGTTTCAGAAAAAATAAAAGCATAAATTCAGCTATCTATGAGCTAGTGGAGTGCGCCCTTACGAACATGGACAAGAAAATTCCCATGGTTGCATTGCTTATGGATATGACTAAGGCCTTCGATCATGTTAGTCATGAAATCCTACTGATGAAGTTAGAAAAATATGGCATTAGAGGCAACACTCATGAGCTTATTAAGTCCTATCTTACAAACAGGCAACAATACACATGTATTAAAAAAATCTGTCCCTACACAAAAACTGAAATAACGCACACTTCTAAATATCGGAAATGTTTATGCGGGGTGCCACAGGGTAGTGTCCTCGCACCACTACTATTTATAATTTACATAAATGACATGCCTAGAATAATCACCAATCCCATGATCTTATTCGCGGACGATAGCACTATACTGTTTAAAAATAATAATGACGAAACCTTTGAAAAAGAAATTAATGATAACTTAAACGACATCATAACCTGGCTAACTGCAAATAAATTGAAAATTAATCTAGAGAAAACAACTTACATATCATTTGCACAAAGAATTAGTGGTAACAGGATTCACGTAGGATATGACGGGAAAAATATTGAAGAGACTGACCATGCTAAATTCTTGGGTATCTGGATCGATAGGAACCTAAATTGGAAATCCCACATTGATAGTGTTTGCAAAAAACTTAGCCAATCCTCCTTCGCGCTATACAACTTAAAAAAAGTGGCAAATCAGGAAACATTAATCACGGCGTACCACGGCTATGTTTCGTCAACATTGCGATACGGGCTTCTGTTCTGGGGAAATTCGCCGGATAGAGAAATGGCGTTCAAATCACAGAAGAAATGCATCAGGGCAATATGTGGTATACAAAGCACAGTCAGCTGCAAACCATATTTTAAAGAATTAAAACTATTAACTCTGCCCTCCCTTTACATATTTGAGGTTGCCAGCTACGTAAAAACTAACATCCACTTGTACACCCACCCAAAAAGTAAACGTCATAAATATAGGATCTGCGCTACACAACATAAGAAAGCCATCTTCAACAAAAACATTTTAGGTATGGCACCCAAAATCTTTAATAAGTTACCTAAAGACATAATAGAAATTGACAATATTAATATATTTAAAAAACGACTACATGAATTTTTGGTAACTAAGTGCTATTATAAAATTAATGACTATTTAGATGAAAGATGCTAGACCTGCTATATCCGATTTGCAATATATGTAAATTTTTGGTTTTTTCAAAAAATGTAACCAACCCTGACTATCTTGGGTGATTCTAATCAGATTAACCATAGATTTGGCTATGTCGAACGTACATATGACATTCTATACTCTTAATTTTCCTTTTAATTTGACCACTTAAATTTTGATACATACTGACATTGGATTCTATGTAATTTTGTGCTTATCATGACATCCCATATTATTATATTCCTTAATTAAATTATGACATTTCGCATTAGGGATTAAAGCTTATGATATGACTGATGACGATGGCTCAGTGGTTTAACCCCCATAATAAATGTCTTATTCCTGTGTAGATACTTAAATGACTATTAATGTATTTCTGTTTTCTAATTTAAATTAATCTATTTACTAAAACTCATATGAATTTGTATGCTTTAAGGCAAAACATAGACGGACTCGCTGTATTGCATTGTATGTCAATCTTTCAAACAACTTTATATAACCTATGTTTACAAATAAACGATTTCATTTCATTTCATTTTCATTTCATTTCATTTCAGATTAGCACACTTGTGCAGCATGTGCTACCTTGCATCATGTTGCAAGACTTTTCTCCAGTTTTTACTTTACTTCAATTCAAAGCAAACATTTCCAATTCTTTTGGTCTTATCAATCGAATCCTATTAAAGGTTCCCTTTATCTTATTCCCTATATTTTCCATTAAGATGCAACTTATAACGATACCAATATAGACGAAACCTTTTCACAGTTCCATACATCAACAAATTCATTGGAATACAGTAATAAATAGTATGTTTATAGCTGTAAGTAATAGCCAAATGTCTACACCAAGGCCAGAACTCGTCCCATCAGAAATAGAACACCGTTCCAGATTGTTTTGCTTACAAACTTGTGTTACCAGCTCCAAATAATCACGTTTATTTTTTTGATTTCTTTATATTATCTGTTATTGCGATGTTTATGTCATACATTATTATCTTTTGTGTTATTATGACTTCATTGTAATTTATTTGTAGAAAGGTTTTCGTGTGTAAATCTTGTTGTACGATCTGAAATAACAATTTGTGTTGGATAGTGTAAATTTATTTTAGTACAAGCTTATACAACACATGTTCTGTCTGTCTGATTTTACTCTGTCCGTTTCTTCTTCGAAGCTTCTTGGACTTTGAAAACTATACCTATTAATCTAAGGATCATGTTAGTGCTTTTCTATTCCTCAAAAATATCTCGTGTTCTTTTTTAAGTCTCCAAAGATATGCTCCTCATTAATCTGTCCATAATGGTCAAGCTGGTGTTTAAAACTAATTATCTCATTAGTGCATTACATGTTCAATTCAATAAACTTAAATTAGTTTCTAGTTAACGACATTTGGCATCGATCTGACACTTTTATTTAGACATTTGGATCCCTTCTGCTACAAAGCAATATTTTATAGAAAGCACTAACATTGCGCATTATTTTGCTGTTTGGCGTAACGTCTAGAAATGTAGACTGCATTCACATGTTTTAAGAAACTTCGTGTTGCCATCTCCGCGCCTCCACAAACCTAAAAATACTTCACCGGTGCATTTTCTACACTTTCTCGCTCTTCACTCTCATAAATCCTTCAGTCGTTGCAAATTAGGTATTTGCTTGGATCACTATCATGTTTTTAGGATTGCTGTTTATTTAGAAGTAGCTTTCGACTATGATCTTCATTTGCTGTTTCTAAGTCTCTTTAAGTTTAACCTTTAATCTTTAAGAAATATTCAAAACTATTTAGAAAACTATTCAGTTGTCTTCAAAACCATATCTCTTCTACTTCCCATAACATCCATGACTTTGATCTTTGAGACAGGTACAAAAGTAACGTACTCATCTTATTTCCATCACCTCATCTGTCATCTATACCTCCGTAAGCTTTAAATCATATTTAGACTCGCCATTTAGTATTCCGTCTACAACTACCTGTTCCTCTTATCTAACGTACTATAATAAATAGCCAATCGAACATATTTATTTACTAGTTGGTTAACCTCAATCGATTAATCTATTTGTACAACCAATTGATCTCTAGGGTCAATCGTTCCGAGTTCAACATCGGGGTTTTATGGGTTATTAAATTAGTTTTTAGTAGTTCATTCCTCGTGCATACCTTTACCTATATTATTAACAGTTTTAAGTCAGGTCAGTCTCTCATCTTTAGTGTGTGTAGTTTTATCGTTAGAATAAGAACAATCTAATTCAGCAACACAAGTTATCACATGTGTGTTAAAGAAAATAAACATCTGGTAAATTACCGGAGTGCGTTTATTCGTAATATTTTAATGTCTTGAATCTTAGACGCCAAAATTACTGGCAGCTGACAACTTTTCTACAAGGGCCTGCTCTTGGCAATGGACGAATTCGTCAAGAACACTCCACGCTCCACCTGTCACGTCCCTTTTCCAAAACAAAACAAACATTATATTTAAATACATTTATATTACATTGACGATTATTATATCCTGTTTTTCGTGTGTTACGTCTGTCTACAAAACGACGACGGTCGTATTTTTTGCAAAAAGGGTCTTAAGCGCGTACTGGATAGGAATATTGCAATGGCAACTGAGTCTCCTTTTTGAAGGATTTCGATTGTACTGCCAGCGTTGTAATTATGTTCAAGATTGAAAAGAAAGCATTCCAATATCCAATATGTAATTATCGCTTTAGTTACTTGTAAAAATTGTTATTAATAACATTATGCTGCCTCGTTGGCCGAGTGGTCGCAAGTGTGACTATCGGGCAAGGGGTCCCATTATTGGTATTTAAAAAAAAATCTTAGTAGTAGCACACAGTCCGGAATTGTGCCCGGTATATGGCAATTGGTTCACCCCTATAATTTGGGACTCATAATTATTAAAAATTGTGAAAAGAGGGTGTTACATTGTACAGTGGCATTAAGTAAGTGCTGTAATGTTGAAGTTTTGCCTACTTACCCTTTCTAGGATAAAAAGGCGTGATATTGTGTTACCTCTCCTAAACTTTTGTTTTTAAATGTATGCTTGTGAAAATTTCATGTAAACATGTCGTTAACTGCTGAAATAAGTGTTAACATTGTTTGTAATGCATAAACGTTTCGTTCTAAATGTTAATGAACCTAGAAATACTGGACCTAATGATGATTCCGTTGCCAAAAGTATTTGTACTTTGTAAGTACAATTAGCAAGGTTTCTGTGCTCGTAAATAATAACGTGGTGCAATATATTTCAAGTTTGTCGTGTTGGTATTAAAGTTTTGATATATAGAACTGTAGTAGTTTTTAAAAGATATTTTTTAGTGTCATTCTGCCCTGTCATCTTTGGTCGAGTCAGAGAAAATGGTATGAAGAACGTCTTCAGATGTTTTATAGGTTCTCTTTTTAACGCACTTCAAAAAAAGAAGGGGCTGACGTTTTTTTAAACATGTTTTTTTAAGAAATGATGTGGGTGATGATTACGTTGTCTCTGGCTACTACGAAGGAAATTTTTATACTTTTTTTAAAGGGGAAAAATCATCGAATGACGAAGGAAGTTGAAAAGGGAGGGAGTGTCAGACTCTTACTGTCCAAAACTACTGTCTAAAACCACCCCGTTCCTACTCCTGCCCTTTGAGCCGGAGCCCCGGCAAACTGTTAAGTCCTCCGTGGCTCCGTTTAAATTATGTTTTCCGGAATTCCCTATTATGCATGTGATGGGTAGAATTATAGCTCTAAACAAATAACAGCAAAGAAAAAAAAACTATACTTTTAAACTATTAAACGTGGGGTAAACAGAAACAATATTATCGCGAGATTATGTTGATGTTAACATTCCGATTTTCCCTAAGCTTACAGCCGTGAATTCCTAGGACTTAGTCAGTATTCCTAGTATTCTGAGCTATTTCTATTCCTATGTATATTTATCTTCGTAATTCGCATAAAGTAATCGATTAACGGTTGGAACAAACATTTGTATTTACGATTTCAGTTAGACACGACCGTGGAAAACGTAGAATGCGTAACATGAAACTTTTCATTTAAAGACTTTGTTTTATTATACAACTAGCTTTTACCCGCGGCTTCGCTCGCGTCACAAAAGAATAAAAAGTAGTCTATGTGACATATACCAATACACACAGCGCCATCTATACCAATACTTTTGTTTTTCCTCGGGAATATCAATTTCTTCCAGGTTAAAAAGTATCCTATTATTTAATCCAGACTTCTAACTTTACGTCTGCAACAATTCAAAGCAATCGGTTGAGTAGTTACGACGTAAAGGTGGAACAAACAAACAAACAAACAAACTCGCTTTCAGATTTATAATATTAGTAAGGATTTCCTGTGCTTAACATTCTTTTGAAAAACATCTCTGTTTTCTAGTATTTGCAAATGATGTAAGGCTTGTAATGAGATTTTCTCCAAGAGATTAAATATAGTGAACTCAACTTATTCTGTGACTCGCCTAATAAATCGGTTTAGTAAATTTGGTAGAACTCATAGGTTTCTAGAAAAAAATCTGATTATTTGTGCTAATATTCCTCATAAAAGACTGATTAAAACTCATGCGGAGACTGAATTAAATTAATTAATAATTTATTGGTATTTTATTACTCAAATGCCTTTGTTTCGAAGTTAGATGAGTTCACCCTAACTAGTTATAACTGAAATCTCTAGAAAGCTAATCTACGGCTTTATTTAAGCCCTTGTCTCATATCTATAGTTTTGTTACAGTAACTGATGGCTACGCTCGTACCAATGGCACAGCCAGCCCGGCCTCCTCCCGACCCACAGTGGACTCTCTTCTGGACCAGCTCAGCGCAGACCTTCCTAATGGGTGAGTACCATCATTCATCATCTTCAAAATATTTCCAAATACTGCAACTTCTGATGGCTATAGAGATTGTTGCAGTACCTAGGTACTTACTGGATTACATTGCAATTTTATTACCTACAAATTAATGAATAGGCCATTATTGCTTATCATTATGTCATTGTGTGATTGCTATTTGTGTGTCGATTAAAACATAGATTTCTACCTATATTAGTCCATTAATTGTAAGAAGATTTTAATCAACAAACTGATCAGGGGGGCTTACTTTTGAATCCAATTCCGATTGATCGACTGTATTGTGAAATTTCGTACTCTTGAGTTGCAACACTAGCGCCCATTGCATTCGTATTGCGTGGATATTTTATGAACTAAATGGTATTGAGATTGACTTAATATTCCGTACTCTGAATGCTATTTTAACAGCTTCGATAGGGGTTGTATAGTGTTGACATTGAATAATTATTGAGATTGTATTGGATTGAAATGCATTGACATTGAGATTGGTTTCAAGAGTAAGCACCCAGGTGGTTAAGACCCTTCAACTGGCATACGTCTTAAAGTACAAGAGTGGCAACTGAAGGCTTAGTAGGAATTTGTTTTACGTTCAGCGAGATCGAAACGAAACATCGTTCAACTCTGATTGGTTGGTTCAATGAAACTCGTAGGTACTAAGCCGTCCGATTGGACTGCTTCAATGAACTAAACAATCCGTAAAACTATCTAAATTCTTATTAAGCCCTTTGCGGACGTTTTGATCATTACTCTTTATAGTTGGGACGAAAATAATAGTTGCTGAATACCGTCCTATAATATACGTCTAGTTCAATTTAGCACTCTCACCCAGTCCATTGGGTGTCCCTTAAAATGTCCACACCTGCTATATTATGTGTAAAACAAACATAGACAATTTATAACCAACGTGTGGGCTTTCCCACGCTCTGTTTCACCCTAAAAATAATTTATTTCAGTGAAAAATAGGTCGTTTTGAGTGTGACAAACAACTTTATAACAAATATCGCGTTTCAAATTACTATGATCGAGAGTTTAATGCTTTCTAATTCTATATCTTTCTATTGTTGTAAAAAGGAAATATTTGATTTGTTGTTTCTGTTGCAAAAGCTATAAATCCTTACTAGACCGATTACGAAAAAGTAAAAATCTTTGACCATAGAGAAAACTTATTCGTTGGTAAACTGCACTTCAACTGAACAAATTGACTTTTGGCCCAGACATACAGAGTGCCAGAGATCTTTTTCACAATAATAATAAAATTTTCCTCACATAAAACATTATTGTATTTGTATTACAAAGTAATAAAGCCATTACACAATGTGACAGCAAGAACTTTACGAAATTATTTCGGTCGTTGACACACCCACCTTTGTTCCCGCCATTTCAAAGAAAGAACATTAAAAAAAACGTTCGAACTGGCCAAAAGTCAACAAGGAGTGTGAAAAAAATTTTCATAATTATGTAGTAGGTATAGACTACAAGTGACACTTTTTTATCTATGGAAAAATATCTGATGCCAGAATTTGTTGCGATCGTAAAAAAGGTTCGGTAGAGTTGCCAAGTACTTAATATAAATTCTAATAAAAGGGAGATTATTGTTGTGCATATATATTAAATTCGTATTTAAATAATGGTTTACTTTGATGTGTTAAAACTAACGGGCACATTATGTAGCTACAAATAATAGCTTTAGCGATATAAACACAGTTAGAAATAGAAAGAACGCAGTTTAATTAGATTCGGAAATGACTTTAAAATAAAAATACGTAATTTATTCTCAGTCTCGTAGTAATGGCCGCAAGTGTGTGGTTTTTGGTTACCGGCTACGATAAAGTGGTATTTTAAGGAATTTCTGTAATCATGTGGAAAGCTACAAGCGTTTCGTATATTTACGAACGCAACCTATTCACTCGGGCCTTGAAGACACCTAGGTTATTCCCTTCAGGAAATACTGACTACTCTGACTCTGGCAACGAATTCCACTCTTTATAATACCTACATAGCCACGGCGTTACGTTATTAATTTGTCAAAATACAATTCTTATTTATACTCTCAAACACCGAGCGGACATCGGTGACCGCAACCTATTGTTCTTTAAACTGTCAAACACCAAGCGGTCACCGGTGACCGCGACCTATTGTTCTTTAATTGTGTCTATAAAACCGGTACTCGACGAGTTAATTGTGTCTATAATGACGGTACTCAACGAGTTAATTTCATAATCTCTTAAATATTCCCACTTTGTCATCAACAAAATAACAATGAAAATATGTGCATACAAATAGTCTGTTTGTCAAAATATCTAATAAGAAATGACATGCGATAGCATTGCCAATTTCTACTGAAATTATAAAGAGGAACGATTTGTTTGTTTACATTTACGTTACTTGATCTTAATGTTCAAATAATAATAATTCTAATGTTTATTGCATTATACCATGTGTACAATAGGTGTTACATAATTGGGTACAGTTTTAACATGAAACCCAGTTAGGGCACGGGAACATGTAGAGCAAAATATAATGTAATTAAATTACTATTCTATTAATATCATCACAAAAAGTTATTATTGTCATTCTAAATAGTAATTTTTTTTCCTTAAATTTATTATAACATGTTTATATTAGTTTGTTTATACAGCAGATTTTGGCATATATTGCATACTGCATTTTACGGCTTACCGTAATCTCATATCTTCATATTTTGATCTACTTTGTTGTTTTCAAAATCGTATTTCCTGTTGACAATAACCTTGTCTGATAAAACAGAAACATACCAAAATAAAACTCATGTGATCCTAAAAGACAAATCGATTCATTAACTAATCGATACAGCTGTTGTTTGTCGTTAATTTAATTAGGTGTTACTAATATCATTATTTTAGAATTGGCAATGACAAAGGACTTTTTACAGGAACTGTTTAAAGTGCAACAAATAATGAACTCTATGCAGTTATTTTACAAAGGATTTAGGATAATATTCCCTTGGTCAAACGTCGTAGACACAAGATTAAGAAGAGTAATTGTATGCGCGAACATATTTATTAGCTTTCACGAAAATTGTGTTTGAAAGTGTTCTAATACGTGTACGCTATTATTTTTAAAAGATAAAGGTTGTTATAGACTGTTATTTCTTAATGTTTCTGGTAATTCTGTATTTCAAATTTCACAAATAGAAATATCACTATCGTAATATAAACTCGACCTTCCTGAGCTGCATCATCTAGTCTGTGGCATCTACTGCTGGTTTATGATCCTCCTCTACATAACGGTTTAAGCTTCGTGTAATATGAACTATTTGAAACGGCCAAGTTCGGAGTTATTTGCTTACCACCAAGCGAGATAGTTGTCAAACGTTAGCTCATCAAATATAAAAAATATATCTAATTTATTATTAATTGAGATATTTAAGTTATGTGTAGTTTTGTATTGTCAATAGGTTTAGTGTCTGTCTGTATAAATGGCAGTAACACTACATTCAATAACAAGTTTATATTAGCTAAAGTCCACCAAGATTAACTGATTGTAACCGGACATTCCTCTTTTATGACGATTGAACCTTGTTTTTCTGCTTGTAGTTCCATACGTTTATTTGGTACAAAAATACAATACATCTTCAATGATTTCGAGGAGATTTTCTAGAATCGAAAAATATCCACGAAATAAAGCTTGTATTTTTTTGAATTTTCTATGAGCTTAATAACACTTTTCCCATTAAGAACCTTACTCGCTCCGTACACAAGCTCAAAAACAAGAAGGGTAATTCATATAAAAAGTGTTCATTAAAAATACGAGTTTTTCTATACGGAACCTCAAGAAAAATCGTGACGAGATAGTGTATCGGTCCGTGGGCCGTCGACTGGGCCGTGTGAAAACTGCTACCTATTTTTGTAACCGCCGCAGAAATAGTACGTGTGACGTCACAACCACTGTTTTGTTATTATAATCGCCCCTTCAGTGTGGCCACGCTGAACAACAACGTCCTGAGTGACGGTTGGTACACAGTTACATACAATTGAGCTCGATTTTGAATTCTTCGTACCTGCAACTACTAGATACCACTTACCAGCTACTTTGTTGTCGCCACACCATCTAGCTGGACCTTTTTTTTTGAGGGGGGAAAATCACCCAATAACTGCTCCCGCCCGGGTGAGGCGAGAGGGAGTGTCAGACTCTTACTAACTAAAAACCACCCCGTCCCTACTCCTGCACTTCAAGCCGTAGCCCCGGCAACCCGTTAAGTCTTCCGCAGCTCCGTATCGGCATCAGCCCTATTGGGCCCCAGCTGTGGTTGTCTGATGGCTCCTTGAGGCGCTCGGAATGCGACGCGCCGTACGCTCGGGCATGGTTCTGGTCAGGTGGATCTAGCTGGACCTGGAGTGTAAAGGCTACACAAAGCATTTTAGGTTCACACAAGATTCATAGCCACTACGTGCTATATCCATGAAGGAAATGAAACCTAGCTTCCTAGCTACGGGAAGACGAAGCACGCCACGTGCGAGTTACCAGCCATATTAATCATCATTGCACTGTGTAGTGGTTTCGCATAAACTAAAAACAAATCTTTTCGTATTTACAAAACCATTGTTAATCTCAAAATTCCTAGAGTGTTAAAATCGTTCAGTAGGTATATTGAAATGCTCGAAATTATTTGTTTTCCACTGTTTCGTGTGCAGTGGCCTTAAAATAATGAAACAATACATATTATTCCGTCAAAATATACTAGTTTTATTATTTAGCTTTGTCAGAATGGGAGCAGACCATTTTAGGTTTATTTGAGTTTCGATGAATAATCTGGAACCCTTTTATAAACCCTTGACAGATCTTGGACAGCATCAGATGACTTTAAGAATTCATTAATTTCCAATTTCAGACTTCTGACTTCCCTGTTAGCAAGTGCTGATGGTGACAAGTTTGTCGAGGATGAAGTCTCGGTTCTAGACTTAAAATATGAAGCAGATTCCATTTTTATTGAAAGGCAACAGTTATGT